CCTCTGTCCATCCATTCATTTCTACCAGTAGCTCAAATTGTGCTCTATATGCTTCCGATGGTGCCTTCCCATCGAATTACTGTGGCTTCCTTCGTAATAGATCACCCCTATTGCTGACACTCTGACAGGACTGAAGATATCTGCATTAGGGTTTAGCTGTGGGGTTTGGAAGGGGTTTCCTGTTGTCTGGGGCTGATTAGGTCGATGGCTAATATATACTCCTTGTGTAAGAGACATTAAATCATCCTTTAATGTATTTAATTCACTTTGAAATTTACTAAAGTTTTCTATTTGTACTTCTTGTTTCCTTTCTTGTTCCAGTTGCCACTGCTGTAGTCTCTCTTCTTGTTTATTTTCTCGTTCTTCTTGTTTCTTTTCTTTTTACTCCAACAGCTGTTGTAATCTCTTTTGTTTATTTTGCTGTTCGAGCTGCCACTGTTGCAGGTTTTCTTGCCACTGCTGTTGTCTCTCTTCTTGTTTCTTTTCTTTTTCCTCCAACAACTGCTGTAATCTCTCTTGTTTAGTTTCTTGTTCGAGCTGGCACTGTTGCAGGTTTTCTTGCCACTGCTGTTGTCTCTCTTCTTGTTTCTTTAATTGTTTATTTTCCCGTTCTTCATGTTTCTTTTGCTGTTCTTGTATTGCTGCTATCAAATCTGCTAAGCTGTAGTTTGATTTGCCACCTCTGGTTTCCATCTTCTTTTTTTCAATCCCACTTCTGACACCAATTTGTTGCATCTCTGGTCGTTTGTTAATTTCCGATATAAATTCTTCCCGAGGAACTTCAGCGATACAAGTCCTTTCTTGAATAAAACTAGTTTATTCTTTCTCAATACAACTTTGCAATTCACTTAATTTCCACAGTCACTTTAACTTAAACACACGCTATAATTCACAATGATTCACGCACTTTACTTATGGTCACTACCGCTTACTTGACTCAATTATCTGTCTCTATCTCGCTATCTGCAATTATTATTTGCCGGGCTTATATATTAAAATAGAGGGCGTCTGGCAAACACTCGAGCCTTCATGATCCTTCTTGAAACTCATCACGTGTTACTAGCGTCACGTGACTCTTTCGCTGTCGTAACAGGGATATAAAAAATAGTATTTGTTACTAAACTTTTCATAAAATCTAATTATTTTTATGTCTAATAAAACTGTTGTAATGTAGAAAAAATAGTTTATAATTTTGATTTTTTCTGTATATATTTTTAATTGTAAAATCTATACATTACTTTACGTTTATGCCGTAGGTCAGGGCTCTTTAACATGCAGACAGCAAGGGATATCCAAACAATTATAAAAAAATCAAAATAAATATGAGAAGAAAAAAAGTAGTATCATAATTTGTGATTGTCATGATGTAAAATACTGTTTAGTTTAGATATTATTGATTAATTTATTTTATGAATGAATATTTGTTTATTTTGTCATAATTGTTTATTTATTGTTATAATAAGAGTTAAAAGCAGATGATTGTTGGAAGTTGTGTTTATAACTCATTGATATTGAGATAATTCGAACGTCGCGTGCAGTCGCGTGCAATAGACTGACATCGAGAATGTAGAGATTTCTAGAAGGCGGGCGGATGATTAAGTGCGAGACAAGCGGAAACAGTAGACAGAGAATAGCGGAAGAGAATAGCTGTTGATGTACAAATGGGCATGGCAGGTGTGGAAGTCATGTAAGTAGAATCAGAAGACAGTGACTTCATTACAGAAGATAAGGACCTACTAACCCTAACGACACTGAGAAGAGATGAGACGTTCAAGAACATCAACATGAGTGTAAAACTGACTGATAAGAAGAGGAACAAAATCTACTGTGTCAAATAGATTAAGAAATACAGACCTCAGATAACACAAGGTCAAGATGTAGAATTGGAGACCCTATGCCAAGAGAGACAGACAAAGGAACTGTGGATATTAGCGTAGACTGTA